TGTTGGCACCACCGTAGTATAGATACACCGTTGGCAGCACCCCACATGGTTTGCATTGCAGTGGCCGCACATCTTCGGGCTAACAACCCCAAGCAGAGCCGAACAATGGCCGAGGTAATGATGTCAAGTCCCCTTTTAGGCCCACCCGACATGCGATTGCAGCCCACAAACAAGTTGCGGCACACCCTGAGACTCTGAGATAATCACCCAAACAAGAAAATAATTCAAAATAAGTCGAAAACAGGGTGTTGTCTCAGGGGTATATCTCAACTTTCCTCAGAAACAGCCGCCGGGGATGCCAGGCTAGTACTCGTATCTGCGACGCAGGCCGAAGGCGAACATATTTCACAAGGTCCGTGAACTGGCGACTCGGGATGGTGTGGAAGGCACATGGATCATTGCGACAAAAGCCAAGCTCACGCTGTTGCACCCTTGAACTTTCGCTGTGAGTTCTATGGCTCGAACCGTTTGGAATCATTCTAAAATCCGCAAACGCGCAACGCTGGGCCACACAAGCTGCGCACCTGGCCTCGGAAGATGCTGGCCTGGTAAGGTGATGCTTGCTTTTGACTGTCACGAGGACTGTGCGTGGTGACGAGCGCTGTGCCTTCCTTCGATGCCCGGGCCTCCATGCTTTTGCCCGGCGGCTCTGTGGCTGCCGGTCATCAAGATTATAGAGCGCCAAGAAAGGCAGAATGTCCCACCGGGCATGGGTTTGGGTCATGTGAAGGGAAGCGATCACGTGTGACCCCATGGGCTGAACCACCTGAACAACCTTTGAAGGCCGCTTGTCTCTTGGCTGGCTATGATCCTTGCAGGCATGCATCAGGCCTGCGCTTTGCGCTGCCGCTGGCACGCAGCTCGTGGCAAGCCGAACACAACACAATGAGGCATCGTCCGCTGTTTGGATCGAATCGAAGCGCCGAGCCTCCGCATCCCTGCGGCTTCCTTCTTACTTCGCGGGGATCGCCCAAGCAAGTTGGCAACGGTCCAATAGCTCCGCTTCAGCCAGACAGCGCCCTTGAACCAACGCTTCTCCCCATTCTGCAGTTGCCTATGCAGCGGGGTGGGAACCAGAGGCCTGGGCACGCATATCAGTCCACTGGGCCCAGGCAATAACTGGCTGCGTGAAAACTCATAAAGCTAAGAAGTTGAAAATTCTGACACCTGCACCTGCAAACTGGAAATTGCCGCATGTGCAAGTCTGCCAAGGTATTTGTCACAAGGCAGTGGCCACATTGGGACGCTCGTGACAAGGCAATGGCTGCATTCGGATGTCCTCTTTTGCCACTAGGCGGTGACTTTCGCATGTCGAAGGTTTTGCCACAAGGACATTGCCGCATGCGCAAGTCCGCCAAGGTATTTGTCACAAGGCAGTGGCCACAATGGGCTGAACGCTGCCATCAGAACTCAATTGCAGCATGGCCCTGTCGCATGTTCTTCTCGGAGATGCTCAGAAGCTCTGCACTTTCACAACTCAGTGCCGTGGTTTTGCAGCTTGCGCAACACTGTTGGCACCACCGTAGTATAGATACACCGTTGGCAGCACCCCACATGGTTTGCATTGCAGTGGCCGCACATCTTCGGGCTAACAACCCCAAGCAGAGCCGAACAATGGCCGAGGTAATGATGTCAAGTCCCCTTTTAGGCCCACCCGACATGCGATTGCAGCCCACAAACAAGTTGCGGCACACCCTGAGACTCTGAGATAATCACCCAAACAAGAAAATAATTCAAAATAAGTCGAAAACAGGGTGTAGTCTCAGGGGCATAGCTCAACTTTCCTCAGAAACAGCCGCCGGGGATGCCAGGCTAATACTCGTATCTGCGACGCAGGCCGAAGGCGAACATATTTCACAAGGTCCGTGAACTGGCGACTCGGGATGGTGTGGAAGGCACATGGATCATTGCGACGAAAGCCAAGCTCACGCTGTTGCACCCTTGAACTTTCGCTGTGAGTTCTATGGCTCGAACCGTTTGGAATCATTCTAAAATCCGCAAACGCGCAACGCTGGGCCACGCAAGCTGCGCACCTGGCCTCGGAAGATGCTGGCCTGGTAAGGTGATGCTTGCTTTTGACTGTCACGAGGACTGTGCGTGGTGACGAGCGCTGTGCCTTCCTTCGATGCCCGGGCCTCCATGCTTTTGCCCGGCGGCTCTGTGGCTGCCGGTCATCAAGATTATAGAGCGCCAAGAAAGGCAGAATGTCCCACCGGGCATGGGTTTGGGTCATGTGAAGGGAAGCGATCACGCTTGACCGCATAGGCTGAATCACCTGAACAACCTTTGCAGGCCGCTTGTCTCTTGGCTGGCTATGATCCCTGCAGGCATGCATCAGGCCTGCGCTTTGCGCTGGCACGCAGCTCGTGGCAAGCCGAACACAACACAATGAGGCATCGTCCGCTTGTTTGGATCGAATCGAAGCGCCGAGCCTCCGCATCCCTGCGGCTTCCTTCTTACTTCGCGGGGATCGCCCAAGCAAGTTGGCAACGGTCCAATAGCTCCGCTTCAGCCAGACAGCGCCCTTGAACCAACGCTTCTCCCCATTCTGCAGTTGCCTACGCAGCGGGGTGGGAACCAGAGGCCTGGGCACGCAGATCAGTCAGCTGGGCCTAAGGCGATAACTGGCTGCGTGAAAGCTCATAAAGCTAAATAGTTGAAAATTCTGACACCTGCACCTTCAAACTGCGCACATGAAGGGCAGAATGATTTGGAAGTTCTACCGCGTTCAAAGCAAGTAGTTTTCGAGAGCGCCCACACAAAGGGCCAACCGCCATGCCGCCAACACTGAATAAACTCCATGCCGCCACTTCTGCCCCAGTAGCGCGTGCGCACAACCTGCGCTGCAGCCATTCGCGCAGCGCCAAACGCCACGCTTGCAAACGCAGCCCAAAAGGCCACTCACAGTAGGAAGCAAAGCTCGGGCGCAGCTTGGGCACTGAGAGCAGTCAACTAGACCTAGGGCAAAAGCTGGCAGCATGAAAGGGCTGCGTTCTGCATAGGAGAGCACTGTCCAGAAAACTCACCTTGGAAAATCCGCTGCTGTCAAGTCAACGACTTTCTGGCAAGCGCACTCACACAACCTGCGCAGAAGACATCCGCGCAGCGCCAAGCTTGCGTACGCAGCCCAAACGGCCGCTTGCGCTGACACTGGGTATATTCACGGTAGGAAGCAGGGCTCGGGCGAAGTTCGGGCACTCAGACCAGTCAACTAGGCCTAAAGCGAACAACACCATACAGATTATGTTTTTCAAGATTCTGAAGCCAGCACAAACGGCTGACATGAACGGCATACTTGAAAAGTCTGCTCGGATAACCCACATCCTGCGCTGCAAACATTCGCGCAGCGCCAAACGCCACGCTTGCAAACGCAGCCCAAAAGGCCACTCACAGTAGGAAGCAAAGCTGGGGCGCAGCTTGGGCACTCAGAGCAGTCAACTAGACCTAGAGCGAGAGCTGGCAGCATGAAAGGGCTACGTTCTGCATACGAGGGCACTGTCCAGAAATATGACCATCGTAGAGCTGACATTTATTCGGATTCTGACGCCCGCAGCCGCAAAGGACTCACCTTGGAAAATCCGCTGCCGTCAAGTCATAGACTTTCGGGGAAGCGCACTCACCCAACCTGCGCTGCAGACACCCACGCAAGACCGGGCAGAGCTTGAGCAAAGCTTGAGAACTCAGACCAGTCAACTAAGAACCGTCGTTAGAGAACAAGATTCTGACACCAGCAACCGCAAAGGCCTCACCTGAACGGCATACTTGGAAACTCTGCTCGGATGGCACGCACCCACATCCTGTGCTGCAGACATCTGCGACGTGCAAACGCAGCCCAAACAGGCCAAACTCACCCCTGCGGCTTTATATCTTAGCAGGGATTGCCCAAGTAAGTTGCGATTGAAGCAACGCTTCTCCCCTGGCTGTAGTTGGCTATGCAGCGGTGGGAAGCAGAGCTGGGGCTAAGGCGATAACTGGCTGCGTGAAAGCTCGTCAAGCTGGATGTTTAGAAACTCTGACACCAGCAACTGCAAACTGCGCACATGAAGGGCATAATGACTTGGAAATTCTACTGTGTTCAATGCAAGTAGTTTCCGATAGGGCCCACACAACCTTCGCTGCCGACATCCGTGCCGGGACAACCGCCACTAACACTGAATAAACTCCAGGTCGGAAGCAAGGCTCGGGCACAGCTTGGGCAAGCAGAGGCAGTCAGCCCAGGCCTCACGCAAAGGCCGACCGAATGAGCGAGCGCTGCCCTCGCACAAAAGGCTTGCGAAACACGCGAAAAGCCTACGTCGTGAAGCCATTGATCAGATGTAGGATACCAGCAACCGCAAAGGGCTCACCCGAACAGATGGGCGGTTTCACGTTGTTTTTCATGGCAAGCACGGCACTCAGCGATCACCTCTTGCGCTGCAGAGACAAGCTTGCGCACTTGGCAGAAGATCGCCGGCGCACTTGGAACATCCGCGTGTTTTCAGCCAAGTGGTGTCTGGCATCGCAGCCACGCAACCTGCGCAGGCATTCGCGCAGCAACCACCATGCTTGACAAAGCAGCCTTCCATGGCCACCACTGAAGAAACTCCAGGTAGCAAGCAGAACTGCCAAGTTCGGGCACTCCCGGTCAACTTGGCCAAGGCGAAACCCATCATAGCGGTGATACTTCTCAAGATTCCAACACCGGCAACCGCAAAGGGCTGCCCTCCAGGGCAACTCTTGGTGGAAAGTCTGCTGCGATAGAGCCCTCACAACCTATCCCACAACCTGCGCGGCAAACATCCGCACGGCCGTGCTTGCAAACGCAGCCCAAACAGGTCAAACTCACCCCTGCGGCTGTATATTCACTCGGCGGGGATTGCCCAAGCAAGTTGCGATTGAAGCAACCCTTCTCCCCCAGCTGCAGTTAGCTATGCAGCGGTGGGAAGCAAAGCTCCAGCAAAGCTTGGGCATGCAGATCAGTCAGCTGAGGCTAAGGCGACAACTGGCTACGTGAAAGCTCATCAAGCTGGATGTTTAGAAACTCTGACACCAGCAACTGCAATCTGCGCGCATGAATGGCAGAATGACTTGGAAATTCTACTGTGTTCAAGGCAAGTCGTTTCCCAGAGCACCCACACGACCTTCGCTGCAGACATCCGCGCAGGGCCAACCGCGATGCAGGGCCATTCGCGCAGCCGTCGGTCCAACCTGCGCTTAGAAACGCAGGCCAAACGGCCACCGGCACAGAATGAACGAGAGGTGGGCAGCAAGTTGCGGGCAAAGCTTGGGAAGGCAAGGGCAGTCAGCTCGGCTTCATGCAAAGCCTGGCCGCTGCCTTGGAACACAACTGACGCGGGCCTTTCTCGATAGCGCAGGCGCCGCAGACTGAATACGTCCTGGTACGCAGACATACGACATCTACACAGCACCCGCTGCCATGCTTGAAATGCAGCCCCAAGGGCCACCAGCACATGAACTCGAGGTGGGCAAGGTGCGGACAAAGCTTGGGATGGCAAGGGCAGTCAGCCAGGCCTCATGCAAAGCTTGGCCGCGCTAGAGCGCTTCCTGGCATGCAACCTGTCGCGGACCCAATATAATTTTCGGGGGGATCCCCCTGCCACGGATGAATTTCATGAGCTAAAGGAACCGCCACCCCTCTTTGATTGATGCAAAGTTGACCGTAGCCACCTGAAAATGGATGCCAAAACGTTAGGAGAAACGGACAAAGCCTTCAAGCTTTCGTTTGCTCCCTTCACCCTCGCATGCCACTTCCGCCACTGTGAAGCATGCGGAAAGATTTGACAGCTGCAAGCTCTTCCTTTTGGCAGTGCCACACTGAATACGTCCTGGTACGCAGACATCATGACATCCACACGGTGCTAGCTGCCATGCTTGAAAGACCCCAAGGGCCACCAGCACATGAACTCGAGGTGGGCAGCAAGGTGCGGACAAAGCTTGGGAAGGCAAGGGCAGTCAGCTAGGCCTCATGCTAAGCCTGGCCGCACTAGAGCGCTGCCCTGGAACACAACCTGCCACAAAGGGAGCGTTGCGAAATATCACCAAGTTCGCTCCGCCGAGGTCTTCCCTCTAACGGATTGGCATCGTGAAACGCTGCGGTGTTTTGACGCGGGCCGTTTTCGATCGCGTTGGTACGCAGACATCATATTTCTGCACAGCGCCTGGCGTGCTTCAAACGCAGCCCAAAGGGTCACCAGCACAACTCGAGGTGGGCAAGGTTCGGACAAGGCTTGGGAAAGCCAGGGCGGTCAAAGGCTGGAAGCACGAGAACGCACTGCCCTGGCACAAAACGAGAGCTGCATAACATGTGAAAAGCCCGCATCGTGAAGCTCGTTGATCCGCTGCAGAACGAAGCGCTCGCCTGAACAAATGGGCATCGTTATTGAAGTGCGCTGACATGCGCTGCTTTCAACACATGCGACGCGAACCTCAGAACATCTGCCCAGCGCCAGGCGCTTGCAAACCTCACCCAACGGATTGGCATCACAAATTGCGGCCTCACGCACGTTGTTCTCGATAGCGCCAGCTGCCAATGCTTGCAACCGCAGCCAACATGTTCACCTACATGTCCTGCAATGTGCCCTTATCGGTACTAAAGCTCAGCATCACAGAACGCAACATCCTGGAGGCGCGAACAAATCAGATTGTGTGCGAATGACTTGGCTCCCTTGTGATGGCAGGAAATTGGGGAGTTGTTGAAATTGCGCTCGGTTGCGCGCTTTTGCGCCCCACTTGGGCGAGTTGCCGCCCGAAATTGCGCCACATTGCCCTCGAAACGGGACAATTGTGGCCAAGCTGCCTTCAAAACTGCTCCTTTGCCGTCGGGCAGAACAAAACGCTCGAAAGCCGAACTTGCAATGGGGCACTTTTCTCTCTATCAATTGGGCTTGGATCCATACCTGCGAGTGGCGATGCTGTCGTTTCGGCCAGCTACACTGCGCGGCCAATGAAATTTTTGTCGCATGTGTGTGTGTGTGTGTGTGTGTGTGTCAACACCTGGCAAATGGCGCGATACCCTTTTGCCCGCGTTCACACCCTGCTTCAGCTACCCAGCTTGTGAAGGCACTCATGATCCTACAAACTGCTCTTGCACACAGCTGCCGTGCTTGCAAACCTCACCCCAACGGATTGGCGTGATTAGAAGTTGCATCCGATAGCGCCAGCTGCCATGCTTGCAACCGCAGCCAAAACGCTCACCTACATGTCCGCAACGTGTGATAGTCATTACTAAAGCTCAACATCACTGAGTGCCAATTCCATAACTGCGTTCTGTGGCGAAGCTGTTGCTTCTGCAAGCTACCCGGGCGCTGCCATTGCATTTCGTCGCATGTTTGTGCCAAAACCTGCCAAATGAGGCGACGCTCTCTCACTAGCGTTCACACCCTGCTTCAGCTTATACCAAACGCAGCTTGTGAGGTCACGATCCTACAGACCGCTCTTCAGATCGATCCGAAGCGAGCATCTGGACAGACGTACCGTACCTGGCGATTTGCCGAACGCGTTTCCTTCAAAACATCTTCCAATCCCGACACCACAACACATCTCGACTGCAGTATTGTAGCGATTATAGCAGTGATCCTATTCCAACCCCAGCAAGCTGCTGATAGCTCCCACGTCTCGCGCAGCTGTTTGGCCCGCCATGGCCAGCACCGTGGCCAGCGAGCGCTGGTGTTTGAACCCTGGAAACGGCGGAGATGAGAGGCCAAGGTGTCAAGCGGTTCATTCAGAGCCAAATCAAATGTTTGCCCGGCTCAACTTGTGCCTCCCGTCGCCTCAAACAAGTGAACAGGGTCGCGATGGTGAACGACGCCACTGGCGTAGAAGAAATGAATTATTTCCAACACAAAAGAGGGGTTATCCCAGGGGTCGGAGAGCAGCCGCGAGCCCCTCAAAGGGAACCCACATTCCAACAGACCCCAAAAGGGACCCCAAAACTCAAATGATGAAGGGAGGCTGAGTGTGGACTTGATTGCACCAACTGTGTACACTTCCTTTCAACAATACACACCTCAAAAATCATCGAAAACTGATCTCGACGTGCACAAAAAGGCCACAAAACTTACCACTCAAAAAGGGGCGTTCAAATCCGCGCACGTGGAAAAAATTGCACAACTTATTTCCTAGGGATTTATGCAAGGTTATGATTTGCACTTCGTGGGAAACCGGTAGCGCGCAAAGCGGTGGCGTCTCGCATCACGATCACCATCACCATCACCATCACCACCACCACCACCACCACCACCACCACCACCACCACCACCACCATCATCATCATCATCATCCCAAAAAACTGACAAAAGCCACGAACCCGAATGCAGAAATGTGCAACCCCAAAAGCATTCCCAGAGACATCCCCAGCAACATCCACCAAATCAACATTCCTTGACACATGTCCAATGGCACTGGTGTCTGCCTTTCCAGCTGACGCCCAAGTCTGCACGTGCGCATCGACATAAAAAGTGGGGCTCCACACGGGGAGCCGCAAGTTGTGTGCAACGGCTGGCTTGCGTCTGGGAGACCAAGCCATTTGGGGGGAAGAAACGTGCCGCCATGGCAACACGATCCAACATGGTTCCCGGCAGAGCACGGACACCGCTGCCATACGCCTCGAGCGTACTCTGTGTCGCAATCGCATGAGCCAAATAGCTCCCCTCAAAGACTCCCCGGAGTGACGCGAAACCCAGCCGCTAAATGAAGAGCACGCAAAAACTCGTCCCACCTGGGGAGATTAAGAAGCTGAAGCTGCAAATATCTGAGCGCGATTTCCGCTCAGAACCTGCCGGACTCTGCTTCTCTGATGCGGTCCTGAAACCTCCCAAACCACGGTTTCTCGTCGAGGCACGCAACCCCACATCAAATCCCAACACAACGGCAATCAACAACAAACAATTCTCTGGAACAGAGCACAACGGTGTCTCCGCTTATAAAAAGGCTGTCCGCTGGTCAGATGGTATCCTTTGAGTGACCAAGTTGACCTCGCCCAACCTGGCGATGTTCTCAACACCGGGCTCTGAAGGCCAAAATCTGAGGCTTGGACGCGGCAAGTTCCTACAAACTACACCTGGACGGCGTTCTGCAGAAGCCCTATGCACAAAGGCTCCGCAGCGACCTTGGTCCAAAGCCTAGATGTTGTTCAGTATTCACCGGGCGCTGCGACTTCCACGGAGCATGACCTAACGAAGTTTCCTTGCGTGCTCGAGCTGCGGGTCGGATCACTCTCGCGCGGCCGGTCTGGCGGCGGCCTCACAGGAGCTCTTGCGGTCGAGTTGCAAAGCTCGAGGTGTTGGAGGTGAGGAGCGCTTGGACCCAAATGGGTCACCGTGACTACGAGAAAACCAACCCTTCGCAAGCCTGGAAGCAACTCAGCTCGGACTGGACCCGAGAGGTCAAAATTCGTTTCAAACAAGCGGCGGGCGAAAGCGGGCATGTTTTTACAGCGAAACTCCCCTCCAAAAGCGAAAGCCACAAAGTCCCGCTCCACGATGCGCGCAATTTCCTTTTCCTTCACGGGCCTCAGGTGTGATCACCTCGAGGTTCTTCACGAAAACATGTTGTTGTCACAAGGCTTTGGCTAAAGGGTTCCCTCAGCCGAAACGGCATGTCGGTGACAAAAGGTTCACCTCCACACGTTCAATGGCAAATATTCACCTCCACATGTTCAAGCACTGACATGTCCAAGAACCTTCGCTCTTAGGTTTGCCATTCTTGGCGTTTGGATGTTTGGCAACGGGATGTCTGCAACATCTTCATTATCCACCTCCTTCGGCTTTATGCAAGCTGAGCTTCGGATGAAACCCACAGCGACGCAGATTCTCTGCTGAAGCCCTCAACTCCAACGCGGAGCTGATGCAGTGTCTTCCTTCCAGAATGCATCGTAAACCGATTTTGCGTGGATCACCAGCGCACCATCAACCTTCACGGCGGTGGTCTCCGGTCTCTGCAAACCCAGCTCATGTCCAAGGAGCTCGGCCCACAATGCCTTGCAAAACATCAGTTCTTGCTCACCTTCTGACAAAAACTGCACTTCTGCTCAAAGGCTGCTCTTTGCCACGCGATGAAACTTGCCACTCCTCCATGCCACCGGATTGACTGGCGCCCGCTTGCCCTCCAAGATGGACTTGTGCGCCACACCAACCATGATAGAATCCTGTTCGTTAAGGCATGTTGCACTGCTCCTAGCTTGAACCCAAACAAGACCACCCAAAAGTCCGAAGCGGCCGCAGTTCTTTTTACCGGGATTGCTGAAAGTAGCACTGCTTCCAGGGCACGGGTGCGCCTGGAGCAGGCGGTGCGTTGACCCCCGCACTGCTTCCAGGGCACGGGCGCGCCTGGAGCAGAAACTACAAGGCAAGACAATGCGTGTCCTTGCAAATGCATGCAGTGCGTGCATGGC